TGCTGAACCGTCGTATGGCAGCGCGAAGCATTTACGGCTATGCCGGAGATTTCGACCCCGACATCGCTATCCGGAGATTTACAGACTGATCAGGAAGCTCGGCAGAAGCCTTATTGAGAGCTTAGTCGGCCCCTAGAACGTAGATGATTAAGCACTTGCTATGACCAGCATACTCGAAATTTTGATTTTGACGCTGATGGCTTTGAACGCATACTCACTCCTTTCCACGTGGGATGGCTTTTGAAAAAAAAAAAAAAAAAGTACAGCAAATTATACTAAAAAGCAGACTCTGTAAGGCTAGTAAAAAAGCCGAATTTTAAAGTCTTTTTTTCCGTTATACTTCAGTATAGATACTTTTAGAGMACTTTTTCTCGTCATTGGAAAGGTCAGTAACATAATTTACAACATTGAAAATTTGATCAATCTACCGGCCAATTAAGTGTGACGAGCCACCTTATTATTTTATCCCACTTCTCCTKGGCGCGCGTCTTGTTTACCAAAGAATGTAAACACGCCAGATAATAACAGCAAACCTGCTGTTTCCGCTCTTATCTTTGACAGATCTTAACAAGGTTCAATCAAATCCTGCGATCCTGATTGGTCAATTCAAAAAATTCCCGCCGTTGGCTTTTGTTTTAATCAATTAATCTYGTAATCAAAACATTACTATTATGGATATTGTGACAGACAATCAGTTGGCCCAGCGGCAGTTCGTAAACACACGCATGCGTATTATCYAGCGTCGATCAGGCGCGAACGGCGTCTGTGGTAACGAATTTTACATCAAGATCTCAAAACTTACGAGTAGAAAATTAAGATCTTACACCTTTAAGACCCAAAAACACCTTTAAATTACCAAATATCGGAGTATATTTAGGTCAGGTGCAGCGTCTAGAGGTTGGTTTGTAGGAGGAACGTGTCCAGATTTGTTGGAAAAAGCGCGCGGGGGTTGATATCTCGATTATAGAATACTTGTAATCAACGGTTCATTTAAGATCAATTATGGACAGATATAACAGTGTTTTGCCTAGTAAAGGATACTCCACTGATATTGGTGCTAGAAAAAGAGTACAACTRCCAAGTGAGCAGATAAAAGGTAAGCTAGAAGGAGAAATAATTGTCGTCTTCCTTGCGTCTACTCCTGGTATCTGTGCATGTGCTCTGAACCCTCGTATTTCTCACAGTAAAAAAGATRATGTGCTTTTGAAATTCCTCCCAGTATTGAATATTACAATAGACTGATTTCGTCGTAGAATGAACTGTTTGGCACTACAATAATTCTATATGTTTAAATACTCTTATCGAAATTAAAATCTACGCTATGTAATAAGTACCATGCGAACTTTGGTAAGTTTGATATTTTGACATTTGATCATTTCATGAATATATCTTATCACAACTGATTTATTTTTTAATGATCTCGTATATCCATGATTCCTAATGGACATACTATCTTATTTTCACCTCAATTAGTTTATTTAACGTTACTTTATTCCCTGTTCGAATTCTCTCCTTTTAATACAASACTTTGTTTCCAAACGCCCTCTAACAATACTTTATTTTTGTTATGAATTCTCTTTTATGTTCGTTATTTTTTAATTATTCCATATGTTTGGCAATCTTTTTCTTATATTCACATCTGTTTGTTTTTATTACATTTTAAATTTGCTCGGAAGTCTTCAACATCCCCTCTTTATTTTAAAAATTTAACTTCGTTATCATGGGTGAAAATGTGTTAAAATGTAAGCTGCCCAAGTTGCAGCTGGCCAATGAAAAACACAATTCCACCTACAATAGAGGAAAAAAGCTTCATGTAAATTATGTGAATGGAACACCTTTTGTTGTTACTAGTGTTCGTTACATTACAGTATCTTTACCAGGAATCAAGTTCCTTTGTCTGTGTCTTGGTCAATTTTCATCCATCTTCMTTTGTACTGGTCTTTATGCTTAAMMAWYYTTTTTTTTTTTTGTTCTCCATTTTTTATTCACTGATTATCAAAATTTGATAATTGTTTGCTATTTTCTAGACATCTTTTTATGTTTCGAGAAGTATGCCTTTTTTAAGTTAATTAGTATAGCTCTTTTTCTTTTTTTATGTGATCACATGTGTTATATGTTGATGTACATGTTCACATTTTCACATTTTCACCCTACTTACCTTGCTTACCATACCATTATGTATTTACCATATTTGTGCTTGCTTTGCTATCACCAGCTTAAGATCCACACTGTAAAGTTATGTAAGATTTGTCATTCTATAATCCCTTCCAGGCTCGCAGTCTAATTTGCCTTACAGCTCGTCAAGTCTGTACCACAGCACACCAGTATCCAAGGTATGCATGCATATTTATTTTCATAATCATTGTTGTCTTGATGAAGTACATTTTGACCATCAGTCAAAGCATTTCCATGACATTGAAAAGGGTGGCTTAGGCTGCGTTCATAATGTATGGCAGGRGGGGGGGCMRGRRRAAWYYTTWAA